AAAATGTCTTTGATTCTTCATTTAATTTAATTTAATTTAATTTAATTTAATTTAATTTAATTTAATTTAATTTACTGAATATTGTGATTCTGGACCTGCAGAACTCGGTCTGGTTCTGGACTGAGTTAATCCCAGAGTCGGGACCTCTTGGACCCACATGTGGACTTGTTTGGACGCACAGAACCCCCGGACCCACCTGCCCAGCTCCGAACCCAGGCCGTAGAAGTCCTCCACCGTCCCGTCCCGTCTGGACCCGTCCACCCAGAACTCCACCGGCTCCGAACCAGGCCGGGACGTCGGCATGGTCGGAGCGGGACTCCTCAGATCCAGCGCCAGGAGAACCAAGTCCCAGAACYCACCAGGACCGGGTCAGATGGGACCCGATCGGAACCAGGGGAGCAGTAATCCAGATCAGGTCTCAGATAAATCCAGTTCTGTAAAACCCGGATTAGAGGATCGGATTGGGCTGATTCATGGTGGGTTTTAATCCAGACTGCATCCCGCCTGGTCCCTCAAACTCTGGATCAGAACCGGTTAAGATGACATCAAAGGAGAGAAAAAAGAACCGAACCGATCCGAACAGGACTCTTCAATCCAGACCAGGATCCAGACGCACCGAGTCCAGATGTGTCGCAGCTTCCATCGGGCCTCAGAACCTGTCAGATGTCGGCTCGGTTCGGTCCATCCTCCTCCTCAGTCTTAATATTTCCGTGCTTTCCCGGCAGACACGGTTCAGTCCCCGCAGAGATCAAAGGCTCAGCCCGAACCGTGACAGCACCGGGACTGGTTCCGTGTTCGGACCGGGACTCACACACGCTGGTCCCCGCGGCTCGGAGCGGTGTCGGTGCCGGACGCTGGAGGGTTCGGATCCCGGGCGGGCAGGGCTGCTCCAGATGTCCGCTGGATCCGAGAGCAGAGAGAWGCTGCTGAGCTCTCACAGGCCCCGCCCCCTCCTGCCTCCGCACCGACCAATCAGGGGCCAGCACGGGAGCTGGGCCGCGCTCTGATTGGTCCTCCGCTCCGCCAGCAGCCTAAATACAGAAATAACCCAAATACAGAAATGTTCGTTAGCCTGACATCTGGAGGCTTTGATGCTGCGGGAATCAAACCAGCAACTCACACGCTGCCGCACGTGCATCATAAACACTGCAACAACAAATTTGTAATAATTCACAGAGTTTCTCCTTCATCAAAACAAATTAAAACCAGTCAGAAAATCATAAATAACATTTATTATTTACTAATTTTACATGTTGGTTAAAAACAAAAAGACAGTGATGTGTGGACGACTCTCAGCTACTACCAGCTGAAAACCTGTCACATAAGGTTGGGCTGGTTCAAATTTAGTTTAACATTTTTTGCTTTTTTGTGTGTTTTTAAGTTGAGTTGTGTGGAGTAGTTATGATTGTTTAATAACTATCTTACCTGCAATCAGAGAGGTTTTAGTTCGGAGAATTCGGAGTTTGAACAGTTAAAGCCTGTTTTACTTTTATTTATATTTGTTGTATTTGACAGAACTTCTGTCTTGGTTACATTTAAAACTGACACAGAGTTCAAAGAACATACATATATATAT